AGAAAATCGACTTTGGTACCGTCAGTCCAGGTCCATTCCTTGCTGCTTGGATAATTAACTTGTTTCAAACCTATCCATGTAAGATCAGAAGAATCTGTATACGTGTTGCCCGACATTGACAAAGCTGAAATTGCCTTTGCAAATTCTGACTAGAAATTTGACAAGGCAATGTTTAACGCACTTACTAGCGACAAAAATCTCTTCTTCAGAACTGTGAATAGAAGTCAAATGTCCTCCATTAGCCTGACAGATATTTTCAGCATTATCAAAATTCTCCCAAAGGAAAAACTGCAATAAAAATATTTTGAGATTGAATCGAAGGCAGCATAGCTCTATACCTTGTAGCAAGCATCAGTCTTGGCAAAATAGGTCCAGCCAGACTGGCAACGTCCAGGAGGTGCTAAATGATAGTTGATTGGTGCGTATGCATGAAATTTTGAGAAATCAAATGGTAAATAAATTTGATTATATATCTTTTCTTAAAGTAAACTTCAACATCTGTTTGTTTTCTATGTGTATAGACAAACATAGGCTCATGGTGAACGTTTCCCTTGCCATCAAAGCTGAAGTGAAGACTTCTCACAGTCACGTCTAGAACTTTTCCATCAGCTCCACGAGGCTTCATTCATTGAACAGACCAAATCATAATTTGTTACTCATTTCAAAGTTACTTTTTTTAAATGCGGAAGCAAACTCTGGCATATCAGAGGCGATTGAGGGGTCTATCACATCATCTATGTTGCTTTCTCTCCCTTTGTTGTTTTTCTTTCATTCCTTGTGCTGAAGTGTTTACTGTTTGTAAAAAAAGGCATTTGAACCTGCATAAGTCCAAAATATTTTCAGCCAAATCGTAGCTGAATACCAAGGCAAATTTGGTCAAATATATTCCCCAACTTTTATTTATATTCTGTACATTAGTTTCCGATAACCCGAAATACGTTTAGACTGTAGAGGATAGAAAGAAAATCTCTAGAGAACTAGAACTATGTGTAGCAAAACTTTCGCAAGAATTTCTCCGTATGCTTATGCACTCCATAAACAACCCAAGTCACCTTCCCAATCACTTAGCTCATTTATTGTCATGTTCAATTGTACCTTAAATATAAGCCGCACGAAAATCTTTGATTGCCTAAAGTCATGGTCAAGGAACTGGATATTACATTCAACGCGTCAAGGATTTCGTCCTCCCTCCTCCCTTCCTCCGTTCCTCCGCCGGCTCAACTACCCTTGAGCAAGGTGTGTGAGCGTAATCTTCAAAACTAAGTTTAGAAAGGAACGCACATCTGTGGGCCAAGTGAAATGCCATGCATGCACGTGCTGCGCCGAATAGACATGCTCACATACTCCTTACCGCCGATAACTTAACTCATTTTTTTTCTTATAAAGAGTTCCTTGACAATTGACATTCCTTTATCTAAGGACACACCAAAAGCTGCAGCTGTAGAATATGTGAAAATTACAAAACATTGCTTACCTGGAGGAGCAGGACATCCAATGGTTGGACAAGGAGGACAAGTGACTACTGGAACTATGGTAGAGATGGCACAAACGTAAGGATATGAGCTCGAACACGATGCAGACTTCCAAATTCCGTCTGCGGATGTAGCGATGGCACATGCATCAGAAGCTGCCGGTTGCCCTTTAAATGCCGGTATATTGTAGAAAACATTTAGCAACGCTGTATTATTTGGCGGCAATTCACGTG